TCAAAACGGCACCTCGGGCCTGCTACCAGAAAGTCTGGGGTCCTACCCATGCAAGCAGTGAGGGCAAGAAACTGTGGAAAATGCTGTCCACTCACATCTGAGTCTCAACATCAATCCATAGTAGGGTGATGGGGACCTTTCCAAGGGTATGTGGGAATGCCTGGGCTCTTCTGTCCCTCCTTGAGCTATGCAATGGCTGTATGCATGCCCACAGTTCCCCAGTTTCTAGGCTCTCGGATTGGTGCCCAGCTCAAGCTGCTCTAGGCTCGGATGCCTGTGGGATTCCGTGTGAATTCCCTTTATGGAGCAATGTCTCTATGCAATCTCCAGGCAGCTCCCTATGTTAGGCCCAAGACCTGTGTGGGTTGGAAGATTCTCTTATAACAAAGATCATAAAAGCTCATCTCAGAATATGGAGCCCTGGAGGCTTTACTCTTACTATTTCCCTGCATCTAGGAGCCTCTCCTAGCTGTTAGCCAGTCCCCAGCTGGGTAAGTTGCCTTAAACCCTCTCCTTATCTACTTTGGTGCTTCTGTCACTTCCCTAGTGAATCTTAGCATTCTCTTATAGACGATCTGTTCAAATTTGAATATCTGTTTACTATTGTGGTTTCTCTCTATGAATAAGACACCTACTACCTGTGTCTTGCTAACCATCTTGATCCTATGATCCTCCTCTATCATAGAAGATTTGAATTCTTTCCCAAGATCCTTCACCAAAGCCTCTTAGTGCTCCTTCAATTTCTTTAAATTCTTCCCAATCATCTCCTTCCCCTTTACTACCCTTGGATTCACCATGTTGAACTTTCCAGAGTCTGAAGTGGAAACTTGGAATAAGTTGTTTAATGTAAACATTGTTAATCCTATAGGCTAGGTGATAATAGTGCTATTAGTTTAGTGCTGTAGTTTACCTGTATAATGGGTCTGGAAACCAAATTGCTACTTCTTTTACTCTTATGAGGAAAATGCACTCAGAGTTCCCAAATTTGGAAAGGCAGGTTGGAAGCACATATTCATAAATGAGGGACTTTCTCAAAAATCCGAGGTTATAAACAGGGGACCTGTGGGCTGAATCTGGCTCACTAGCATGGTGCAGGCCCAACATTAACAATCAAGACATTTCACATACAAATGTGGATTCCCTGTTTCTTTCGAAAAATTGGAAGATCGACATCAATGAGTCTGTTTTCTGGCATAAATATTGGTAGCAGTTACAGTTACATAAAGGTGAAAGGTGAAGTTATAGAGGAATTTGAGACCCCCAAGGGAGAGGTGGTTGAGGATACAAACTAAAAAAACAAATGCCTTTATTTACACTTTTTCTTGTACTGACCCTGTGACCATGGAGCATGGAGTTGCTTTTTGGGAATAAATCCTACTTGATTACCTGTTGTTAGTACTTGTCTTCTGCAAATAGAATGAAAGGGAAATCATTCTTGGTTTTTGAATTCCTAATGATTTGACCAAAAAAAAAAAAAAAAATTGGGTGCCTACTACCTTGAATAACATAGTCAGGAAATGGTTGCTTATTGCATTACAAAGTAGTTTCTGTAATAGTAGTAGTAGCTAACAGATAGGCTTCTATAGTGCCAGACTCCAAGTACTTATATTTACTCAGTATAGACCTATATTGTATTCAAGGCAAAGATTGCTAATGTTTCATTATCGTAGTGAGCAGTTTGTTTCAAAGCATTCTTAAAAACATACAAAAACAACATTTTTAGGGGATACTTCTATAGTGTGAATGTGAAAAACATGGTATGTTTGACCATGTACTTCCTTAAAACAATTGAAATACATTTTTGTCTCCTCTTCTGTGGTTTAAAATGCCTTCAACAGGTTGAAAGAATTTAGATAATTTGTTTTACAGAGAGATAAGGGTCTGACATTTAACACAACCCCAGGTGCATGTGGTTTCTTAAAAAATGTCATAAAGGTCACATGATTTTAGTGTACAAAGTCAGAAAAACAAGATCTTTTTGAGTGTCTTAACCAAAATGGAGTATAAATAAAAATTCCCTATATGAAAAGCAAGAAATCATTTAATTATAAAACTATTTTTTGTTTTTTGTCCATTTTTGTTAAGGATGAAATTAATATTAATGACATCTTGTTACATAATTTGTTAAAATCTTTGTTTCAGAGTAATTCACTCTGAAAGCTAAATTTGTTATTTCCATGCTGACTTTGCAAAGTGAAGTGTAGCACTGGGAATAATTCATGCTTTAATAAATATATTTTCTAAAACCATTTAAAATATTATAGATGTGTTTCAAATGCTTATGGGATGGATTTCTTCATAGTAGAAATTATTGTTTTCTTTGTGTAGCTAATTCATCCACTTTAAATAATGATCTTCATCAGAACCACCCAAACTGGAAGTTGTAGCTATGTATTTAATAGTTTCTCTCCTTTTAGAAAAGAAAATGTTCACATATATAGTAGTTTCACACTTAATATTTTATTATAAATGTAAGGAATGAGTACAATGAAGACATCTCTTAGTTTTTGATGTTATATCCATTTTAAATTTTCAGTCATTAGAGAGAGTTGAACTAATGAGACTTAGTTATTTATCTTATTTTTAGTTGCTTATTTACCATAAAAAACTCCATGTTTGTTTCCATTGTTTGTATTTTTATTGAAGGAATGCAGTTAAAAACCACATGTCATAACAAAAGAATTATTGAACTTTTCCTCTATAAGCTTGTTTTGTTTTATACTATAAGTTATACCTGTTTCTTTGACATTATTATTTTTAAAAAATTGTTCGATAAGCAGGAAATAAATTGTGTACTCGTCCCAACAGGGAAGATAAGTATTCTGAAGAAAGATTTATAAACAAGGAAATGGTGTCATAGCTGACTTAATGGGGCCACAAATTAAATGTTAAAAGTTAAGAGGAAAGCGTCCCTAGTTCCTCATTCTATACCCCAACTGTGCCTTTTACCACAACTAACGGCCTAAAGTCACATCCTGTATAACTCAATGGGAGTTGTATTTACTGAATTATTTCCTTGGGGGGAGATGTTTGTCATAGTTTTGTATACAGTCCAGGAAAGTGTAATTTTACTGAATATATTCATGGAGATTTGATAGACTATAAATTAAAATATATTAATTTACTTTTTTGCACAAAAATTATAACTATAATAATGGAAATAGAGAAAGCACTTATAATTCTACAACCCTAGCTAACAAGTAGCCTTCCCCTTTGCAGTCCTTACCAAGAACCACATTTGAAATACTTGAAATTTTTACTTATATATTTTAGGGAGTTTATTAAAATTGTTCATTTGGAGATTTACTTTTGAAGCCCAGGTCAGTTCCTGGATACTCCCAGAAAATATTCCCAGAGAATGTATTTTTTAAGTACAGAAGGAGAATGCCTTCTGAATTTGGTCATCTTATTGGGAAGAATTTCCATGGGTTTCTTTGATACAGAACAGTCCTAGATGTCATTGACTAAACAGGATATTTAGATGCTTTATGATGTCTAACCTAAACTATGGAAAGGCATGCTTCCATTTTTTTTTTTTTTTTTTTGGACTAGGTTTAAACTGGACTTTCTTTTTTTTTTTTTTCCCTAGACTTTCTAACCTCTATAAACCACTGGGACTTGCTCACAATTGAATTATGTTCTAATTAGGGAGAAAATGGCACAATAGAATTAGGGTACCACTTGAACAGAAGCATTTGTCTTACTGAAATTTACTCCCGGTTGATTACAGCATCGGGTGGGTTTTTCATTTAAATAAACAATTAAATCTCTAAAACAGCACTTCATGATAAAAAAATAAATAAATCTTATTGATTGCCCATAAATGCTCAAATTCAGATTTCATTTTACTGACAATGTAAATTCCTGAAAGATTCCTTCATTCATTCATTCATGGAAAGTCAATTAGTATTAATACAATAGCCTGATTTAGGAGTCCTAGACAATTTTTAAAAGCTTGGTTTTATAAATATAAATGGGTTAATATTTCATAGGTTCATTGTATAACTTTGATTCACTTGCCTAATGAATAGGCAGGTGAGCCAGGTAAGTGGATTATTACTACTCTATAACCAATGCTTTCAATTGATATGATAGTCATTTTTTAAAACTAGGCTCACATAAAGTATAGCCTTCCACAAGATATTAGGTAACCTAGAAAGTAATCAAGTTAAGAAATACTATCCTTAAATGTAATCAGGTTAAAAAAATACCATCTATAAATTCCTATTGGAAATTGAAAACAATATCAAGTTTAATGTAGTTGATAGTGTAGTAGGTGACTCAAACTTGTACTTTTCCCCTGTAAGTAGAGTGAACTTTATCCTGGTTATAAGACATTTGAGCCCTTTTTATCTAAACTTTCAAGCTAAAGCCAAAACTGATAGATAACAAAACTTTCCCATATCTGATATTTAATTTGCCATTTATGAATTTATAGGAGGGAGGGATAAATTATTTTGAGATGAGATGATTTCTGTCCTAGTCTGCTGCTTAAGCAACAGGTGAGAGGAAGTTCTGTTGACTGTGGCAGCATCAGGAATGGGAATTAACCTATAAGGTGAGTATACTATGTGTATTTTTATATGGAAAATTTAAGTTACCTTAAGCACTGAGTCAGTTTAAACACTGATGGCTGTTGATGAGGGGAAATGATAAACCATGACTTTTCTGATATTTCTTTATATCCTTAAAAAAATGAAGTATATTTATTTTATTTTATATTTCAATAGCACAGTATCTGGAATTTCCAAAAACTCCATATTTTCTGAGCAAGATACAAATTAGTTAAAAATATAGTATGTCAGCTGCTCACAGTAGACTTTCAAAGGTAAATATTAACCCTGTCTGTATTCAGGCTGTACTCCAATTTGAAAGATCCATTGCATAAAGAGGAAATAAAATGACACCAAATTGCTTTTTTGATCCTCTTAACAATCTCCCTTTTTATAAAGCATAATAATTAAAGTTTATCAGGTTTTTTTTTCTCTTCTTTTTTACAGGAATACCAGTGTATTCAGTAGCCTGGGGCCCTGATTCAGAAAAGGTTCTTTTCACAGCAGGCAAGCAGCTGATCATTAAACCTCTTCAACCAAATGCTAAAGTTTTACAGGTACTTCTCAGTCATTTGTAAATTATCTGGCTCTGCATGACTGCTAAGATAGAGGACACTTGCTTAGGAGTCCCTTTCTTCTGGGTGGTCTTTATACAGTCTGAGGCCTTTAAGTATGCGGTTTCATCAGCCATTATTACAGAACTGGGAATATCTGTTTATGTTTCCAGCAAGGTTCATTTTCCCCTTGTTCCAACTCACATTATACCAGTAAATCATAAAGATGTTTTGAGTTACTAGATTGTCACATGATTTGGCACAACTAAGCATCTTTAAATTTAGCAGTCAGCCTCAATGTATAGATTTGAGATAAAACAGAACTAAATCATAAAACTTTAAGAGCTTGCTAAGACTTTTTAAAAAATCCTCATCATCCTCATCATTATCTGTTCAAACACTTGAGCACTCTCTAAGAGCCTAAGGTTCTTTTAGTATTTTTACAGTGGAGGAGGAGTCAATATAATACTTAGAACAAATTTTGTATATATAACTTTATTAATTATGTAGAGAATATTTATCTTAAGGATAAATGTTGAGCTCACATCTTCTTTTGTACTATTCAGAAAGGAAGAAGAGTTAAGTTAGGAGCTGAATCTCGAAGGTGGGGAGGGAAGGTTGTTCTAAGCCCAGGAAACAGGAAAAATGATTGTTCAGAAATGTGAGAGAAAGGGTAGAGAACCACACGAAAGCAGCAAAACAGTGGTGGCAGTTAATACAGGTCAGAGCGGAACCAATGAATGGAAAACCTGTAAGCCTCTATCTAGGATTTTGTTATTTGATACCAGTGTTAAAAGACAGAATGATTTTCTTTACATTTTGCTAATGCCACTGTTTAGTTTCGGTAATAAGAACAGAGGCTTTGGAACTAGTCACTTGGGTTCAAATCTTCACTTACTTACCTATATGTGACCTTAGGCAAGTTTTGAAATATCTTTGAATGTCAACCTTCTTATATCTTAGTTGGTGACAATTTCTAGGTGACTTATATACCTATATATATGTATTCTGTGTACAGAATTGTATATTCTACTTAACGGAATTGTTGTGAGGATTAAATGAGTTAAATTGCAAAGTGTATAGGACAGTGTCTGGCACATGGTAAGCACTCAATATAGTGTACTTGTTACTATTGATGTTATTCTGCTATTGTGAGTTATTATGCCATCCCTACCTTTTAATTAACCAGGGAGGCCAGAAAAAGGTTGTAGACTGATTAGGTCTTGGGTAAGGGATTTGATGGTGGAGATTAACACATTATAGCAGGTATAAAAGTGTTTTAAAAAGAAGCATCAGGTTTAACAGTTGAGTAGATGTACATTTTGGGGAATAAGGAAATAGAGGTGACTTTGAGTTTCCATATTAGTGACTTCTGTATAGCTTATGTATATATATTTTATATAGTCAACATGCATTTACATTTTAACATGTGCAGAACACTCTAAGAACTGTGAGGACAAATAAGAAATAGAAGATGCAAGTCCTTGCCCTTAGGTAACTAAGGTAAAGAATTTGGGCAAAGGGAAGCTGGGAAAGACAACTAGTTCTGACTGCTTTAGTCAAAGTCCTTCCATACCAGTTACTTACCCTGTGAAAATTTGCTATGAACTTATATAGCAAAAATAGGCAAGTTGAATCTTTTGGTTTATACCTTTAGTGTATAGTTATGTAAATTTTTTTAGATTGTGATCAGGCTTATATAAATGAACCGAGGAAGCTGCTTATATCACCACTGGTCAGTTAAAATATGGCTTAGTGGTTCAGTAGAATCTTTGGGCCAGGAGGTAGTAGAGAGAAGGAAATATATCCATTGCCAAAATTCAGCTAGAGTGAAAGAAGAGTTAAAGTATAATTAGTAACTTAATGCAAATCATCTATTCCTTTTGGGAAACTAGAACAGCCGAAATTCTTTTTGGGCATAAACACATATTCAAATTTGGATTATCCATAAAAAGGAATGGTTAATTAATTCTTGCTTGTGGAATACAGTTCAGAAGTATGTACCTCATTTCCTTTAAGACCTTCTAGACTCCCAGAACTTGGTTTCATTTATTTATTGATTCAGTAAAAATGTAGTGCATACCTACTATATACCAGGCACTATGGTGAGATATTCAGAGTGCAATAGAACATATTTTCTGTCTTCAAGGAGTTTGTTGTTCAAAGGAATTTTACAAAATGCTTAATAAATTGAGAAATAATTGAAAATTATGTATTATATGTAATATATAAATATCTATAATATATAAATTGATATCCTAAGATATAGTTTAAAGAAAATTTAAATAATATTTTATTCATAGATTTTGAGTATGCAAATATTTATTTTGTAGCTTTAAAATGAAACTCAAGAATTTGTGTGTATGTGTGTATTTGTATATGTTGTTGTATTTGTTCTTGCAGTGTATTTTAGGTTATTGGATTAATTTAGCAGTTAATTGTGAGACTTCCTGCTTTTGAACATGTATTATCAAAATTATTAGTTTTTGAAAATGTATAATTTTATACAATTCGAATTAAAGCAAGCTATGAATTGTTGCTTATTCTTAGAGCTTATTTGGTCCTTTAATATTTTATTTCTGTATACATTAAGAATAATAGGTTGGGAAGGGTCTATAGAGAAAGCCCTTAAAATCTGTCACTCTTTGATGTGCAGTTAATTGTTTCAGACATTAAAATATATGTTGCAGTCTTCAAAGAAAGTTAATTCTTTTTAGTTACATTATTCTGCCTATGGTAGCTTTTAATTATATGTGGGATAATAGCTAAATGGGCACATGTATTACATTTAAGAGCAAGACATCCATGCTTACTTTCTAGATTGCCAATTTCTGGGTGACTTATATATACCCATTTAAATGTATTCGATGTACAGTTGGCCCTCCATTACCATGGGTTCCATATCCGTGGATTCTACCAACCAAGGATCAAAAATATTTGTGGAAAAATTTGCATCTGTACTGAATACGTACAGACTTTTCTTGTCATTATTCTCTAAACAATAAAATATATTAATAAGAACTATTTACATGGCCTTTACATTGTATTTGTCATTATAAGTAAACTAAAGGTAATTTAAAGTATATGCAAGGATGAACATAGGTTATGTGCAAATTCTGCACCATTTTATGCCTGGGACTTGCGATATTGGTATCCGTGGGAGGTCCTGGAACCAATCCCCCATGGATACTGCGGGATGACTATATACTTGCAATACGTGGAAAACATCTTTTTGTTGTATTGTAAATGCAGCAAAAGGTTCTAAGAGTAGTCTAGTTGTGAACCAGACACATGAAGAATGAAGCTTAAGGGAATATGCAGAAGAGAATGAAGAGAGTAGTACTAAAGATGATGTTTGTGCAGTAGAAGTTTAAAAAATAAAAAGAAAAGAGAATTAGTAAACAAACATGAAGACAGTATCATTAATGGGATCAGCTGTACAAAGGAGACAGCAAGATTTGGATTCAACTGACATTTTTGAAGAACATAACATAGTCATTCTAGTGTTATCACACAAATGTCAAGCTTGAAATAGTTCAGCAGCAAGTGATTTTCCATCTGGAGTCCAGACAACTGAGAAAATTCATAAGAATGTAAGCTATATTGTGGATGTCATCGTGCTAGTTGCTTTCATTAGTGTAAACTGGAAATGAAACAAGCAAATGAGCTATTGCAAAATGGCTATGAAAGGAAGATACGAATCCCTGAGGAGATCATTAGAAAGAGTCAAAATGTCTTGTCTTTTCTTCTTCTTTTTTTTTTTTTTTGTGAGACAGAGTCTCGCTCTGTTGTCCATGTTAGAGTACAGTGGTGTCATCATAGCTCACTGCAACCTCAAACTCGTGGGCTCAGGTGATCCTCCTGCCTCAGCCTCCCAAGTAGCTGGGACTAATTTTTCTATTTTTTAATAGAGATGAGGGTCTCACTCTTGCTCAGGCTGGTCTCAAACTCCTGGCTTCAAGCAATCCTCCCACCTCAGCCTCCCAGAGTGCTAGGATTACAACAGACATGAGCCACCACACCTGGCCCAAAATGTCTTTTCTTATAGAAAAAAAAAGTGCTTTTGAAGTTATAGTTAATATCTTATTTTTTTCCTTACAGTGGAAAGCTCATGATGGCATTATTTTAAAAGTAGATTGGAACTCAGTCAATGATCTTATTTTATCTGCTGGTGAAGACTGTAAATATAAGGTAAGTAATCTTTATATTTGTCACTTGGTTGAAAGAATCAAATTTAGGTAAAAAATATTTATCATATAAGAATATTCTTTTAGCTTTTTCCTTTAGTCCTGTCTTTCAACTCTAATAATTTGGCAAATTATTTTATAATTTTAAGTGATATTTTAAAGTGTGGACTTCATAAAGACTATTTCATTGATTTATAGAATTCGATTTAATAAATAGCAACATCGATACAGCCGCTAATTTTACTATGACTCAATTTAAATCAATTCATTTAAGTTTTTAAAAAATCAACCCCTACTGGTTTACTGAACATTGGTCAGCTTCAGACCAAAATAATTTATGGAGAAGAATAAGGTTTTATGTAACTAGAGTTAGAGAAAATTTAATTGAAATAAACAACTTTTAGAGAAAGTTGATAGAGCCTTTATTGGATAAAAAAATTTAAGCAAAAAAATAAACATTCAAAACTTTACTATTAAATTTAAAAGGACTTAAAATGGTAGGTTTTATGTTTAATCAAATATTTAGTAAAATCTGAAAATTATGACAATGTTATAAAATATTTTCTTTTTGAGATATTTAAGTTTCAAGGAATACAGCTTCCCTGCATTGTGTAATAGTAAGGATATTTAATTGCTAATACTATATGATGATGACTTCTAAATTTTTATTTCATACCTTACTGGAGGACAAACTTTTTTGTAATGATGTGGTAACTGTTGTAAAAGATAAAAAAAAAATTGGTTTTGTAGGTGTGGGATAGTTATGGCCGCCCGCTGTATAATTCACAACCTCATGAACATCCTATTACCTCAGTTGCCTGGGCTCCAGATGGTGAATTATTTGCTGTTGGATCATTTCATACTTTACGCTTGTGTGATAAAACTGGGGTAAGTTATAGTGGTGAGCAGTCACAGATGTGCTGTCATAAATGAGGTAATGCATGACACACATTGTTCTGAATCTTTAAAAAACATTTTCAATGAATGCATTTGACTGTATCTTTCTGATCTGTCTTCTTAATATGCTGGTTCAGTCACTTCTAACTTTATGGGACCAAACAATTTAAGTTTGAAGAATGGACATGTTCTCTACTATTTGTCTTTCTGGAAGTATTAATACTTATTTTGAGCATGATTGTGAAGGATGATGAGGTAGTTAAGGTATTAAAATTTATGCTTATTCAATATGGAGAGTTCAGTTTTAAACTTTTTTTTTTGCTGTCAGTATGTTTCATACAAAATTTTGGCTGCATATTTTTCATAAGTAATCAATAGTAAATTTTTTCAATAGTCATTTTAAAACTAAAAGACATATTTTTCTTTGCTAAGAATTCATATTTGAATACATGTGAGAATTTTTCCTCACAAGAATTATGCCCTCCTTCATGCAAATTCTGTTTAGAACCTAGGAAAAGAGGCAAGCTCAGCAGCATTTACCCATTGTACTTGAAGAATGAGTTGTTCTCATTCTCATTTGAAGTGCCCTCAAAAGCAGTGGTATTGCATGGCAAAAAGTTTCAGTGGGGCTGTTCTATACTATTCCTAACTGTGAGGAAATCACATAATTGTTCTGTGGCTTATTTTCCTCAATTGCAAAATAAGACAGTTAACTTAGAATCTTTAAAGCTTTATAAATGATTTATTAAGTGTTCTGGTTACTTGTTTTCTATTTCATAAGATATGAAGTCCTCTGCTTGGCTTTAGAAGCTCTCTGAAACCTAGTGCCTTAAAATCCATTCAGTCTTTTCTCCCATATTGCTCTAATTTGCATATGTGTTCCACTCAGGTTGAACCTGGCTCTTGAACCTTTCCTGTACCTTACTAATGTCCCCACTCATCTTCTCTTTTTATGCAATACTCCCACCTCTGTCTTATACTTTGTGAGTTCTACCCATGTTTAAGGCCTATCTCATGTTTGACTTCCTTTCTTCGTGCCTTCCATAGAGAATCTAAAGTTTTTGTCTATTTTTGTACTTTCCTTTCACCTAGGTCTTTCTTCTCCTAGTTATAACATCGGGATGTCAGATCAGATCCTCTCATCACTTAAGGACTTTTTACCTCTGATTTTCTATTAATGATTCTAAGTGTATGGAATATGCAGTCTCATTTCTACAATGTATTTTCTTACATTGTCCCATTTTAGTTTCACGTATTTTTTTTTTAAGGCTGGTCAAGTGAAGCAGTGGGAGTGGAGAAGGAACAAAAGAATCTGTAACTGGTTGTGATCAATTTGTTGTTAAACACTACTGCACTCGGACCTACCCAAGTATATTATTTTTGACTCCCTAGTTTTATAAGATCCCATGGTTTAATGATTCTCTATTATCTATGCAATGCAGTAGATACTCAATAATTTATTAATAAGTCAATTTAAACATAAATTTAATTTGCCATTTTGATTAAAATGTTTTACAGTTTTAAAAACTTGGGGGATTGAATTAATCTAAATAACTAAATTAAAGATTTACCTCATTAAGCACCAAGTCTTTTTTTAGAATGTTAACAATTCTGGAAAAGTAAACTGAATAGACTGAATATATTGTAATAATTTTTTAAGGACTTGAGATTAACATTTTAAATAGATATATTCTCTTATTCAATAGGCATTAAATATATACTACTCACAAGACAGTGTTCTAGAAATGGGGGATGGAAATATGAAAAAGATGTAAAGACTTTCACTCAAGTTGTTGATAGTCTAGTGGAGAATTAGACTATAGGACTTATAGTGCAGTGCGATAGTGCTATACAGAAGGTTTGTTTCATTCAAACACTGTGAAGCTGTGGCAGAGCCTAACTCTGCCTGCGGGACGTTGAGTAGAAAGCAGAGGCTTAAAGAATTAGTAGTTCTCCAAGTAGACAAGATTGGAGGAAGAGAGTTACAGGCAAAAGAAACCTCTTGTGCATCAAAATGTAAAAAGGGTATGGTGCTTTTTGTGTAGTGTCTATAAGATTTGCATGGGATAGTACCAGGAGATGATATGGAAAAGATATTCTTAGACCAAATCTGTGTTTGCCATGAAAAAGAGTTTAGATTTCAATCTTTTAAAATCTAATTATTTTCTGTGGAGCCCTCTTAGGGATCACTGTGGTGTGGAAAAGAAGTAAGGGAGTTGAGCTCCTGATCTCCCTCACTACCCACAACCAGAGAAGCTCCACATTGATCAATTTTACTATTTGAGCATCCAGTATAAGATTTCCTTTGACCAGCTGACACAGTGAAGTTGGAAAACCAGTGTGTTAATCACTAGAGACCCAGGGATAGTGGATAGTAACACAGTAGTATTCAAATATTGGAAATGCTGCTTTGATGTCAAAGGAACAATGATATGGGATAGGGAATAGAATAAGCAAAGGCAAGGAATTATAGTTTATTAGAAAAATTAAAAGTTCAATATAGTTATAATAGTTTGGAGTTTATCCTAGGGACAATGGTGAGCCACTGATCCATTTTAGATAGTGACCTTAATAGATTTGGCATTTTTGAGGAAGCGTACTCTGAGATTGGCATGGAGGCTAGGTTAGAGGAGAGGTAGACTGGAGGCAGGATAGCTAATTAGGAGGCTGTGCAGTAGCACAAGAAAGTGATGATGTTGGCCTGAAAAATAGAGAGTAGCAGTAGAGATGGAAATAAATAGGTTCAGGAGATAAAATCCTTGCTATGATAAGTAGAAAGAGTCAAGAATAGTTATCTGGGGGCTCCATGTTGGCACCAGCTATGGGGCAAGATGGAGGTGCTTATTTTGGAACCCTCCCTGTATACTGTCAAAGCCATCCTGATTCTGGAAAATGATAGAGGTTGACTTTTTGCCAAGTACTATGACACCTACTCTAGTATCAAGGAGTAAAAGACCTTTGAGAAAAACGTTTTCGACAAGACTCATTGGACAGACAGTGAAATTGCCCTGTTGGAAGGCCCAACAATGATATACAAAAGCAGTATTGATCTCTATTTCTATGTGATTGGGAGCTCCTATGAAAATGAGCAGATGCTTGTGGCTGTTCTGAACTGCCTTTTTGACTCACTAAGCTAGATGCTGAAGAAAAATATAGAAAAGGTAGCTCTGGTGAAGAACATGGAGGGGTTCTTCTTGGCTGTGGATGAAATCATATTAATAAATGGAGGAGTGATCCTAGAAAGCAATCCCCAGCAAGTGGTACACTGGGTGGCATTAAGAAATGAAGGTGTCTCCCTCATGGAGCAGACCGTGTTTCAGGTGCTGCAGTCACCCAAAGAACAGATCAAGTGGTCACTCCTTCAATGAAGACCTCACTGTTCCTGGCCACTCACCCCCCTCAAAAAATCTACATGTCTGCTGTAAAGTCTCATCCAGTCCCCCAACTGATGCTCTCATTGTCATCTTGGGGATCACAGGGATCCTTAAATCTCCATCCTGCCTGTGGTTGCCCCCTCTACCCCAAGCCCTCTGCAGATTTGGATGCAGGGTGGGGGAAGCACCCTCTTCCTTTCTAGATTAGATCATACTCCCATGCTCTCCTACCTGCATATTTTCTCCTCAACTTCTATGCCCTTTGCTGTATGTAGCTACACTTCAGATCAAAGCAGGAGAAAGAATGTGCTGAGTGTTTTCCTCCTTTTGCCTTTGTTCAGCCTTCATCCCAACAGCCCATATGTCTGACAAGGGGAAGTAAAGAGAATTCTTTTTTATAGAATGAGTAGGGGTGGGGATGGGTAGGGCTGTATCCAATCTCAGCCACAGCCCCACTTACTGGCCTCAGCATTTTCTCCCATTCCTTCTTACTGCTCTGCCTTCCACATTGGAAAAGAGATTGGAAATAGCTCAGGACGGAGTAGAAGAAACAGTGTTTTAAATTTTATTGGATAGGACTTATAAAATTCATTCTCTACCCTGATCCTGGCATATAGCTTCAAAACTGCTGTGGTCAGTGTCCATCTCTTGGTCAGCTACCTTTAGTACCTGTGGGATCTTTGCATGGTTTGTCCTCTCTGTGTCTTGGAGCAAAGCCAGTCCCTAGAATTAAAACTTCATTCTAATCTTAGGAAGAAGAGTTTCTGCTCAGAACTGGGGAAGGAGTAAAATTTATGACTTGGGCCTCTAGGCTCTCTTTGTCCCCTCAGCTCCCCAACATGCATTTACTCCTCTGCCTTGGGTCTGCAATCTGCTGCATAACCCTGTCCTCTCTCTGCCTCAGCCTTACATCCAAGCAGTAGGTCTGGGCTCTTCCCCTCGCTATGTTGCCTTTCTTCATGAAACCTTTGGGATTTGGATTTCCTCAGGAAGATGGAGAATGGAACACCCACTCTTGGGTTTAATCTTTTCCCTTGACCCAAAACTTCCTCCCCGCAAAATGTCTTAAAAAGCCTTCCTGAGACTTAAGCATTCTGCCCTACCCACTAACTGCGAATTCTTCAACACTGAAGTGGGGAAGACAACTGGGCATATTTGAGGGAGCATATTTGTGTAAGAGATGAAGAGATGTGTGGAGTCAGGAGATAGCCATTTTCATATACTTCTCTGTGCAAAGAGGAATAAAACACATTTCTTTTTCCAAAAAAAAAAAAGGAATAATTACCTAAGTTTCCATTTCCATTCTAGTGCCTTACTCTCTGGGTGCTGGCCTGAGGGTAACTCCCTCTTATGGTGTAAATTACTTTGGATTTGTGTGATAGATTTTGTTGGATACCCCATTCAATCATTACAATCATAAATCAAGTTATCTAAATTTCAGCATTCATAAGTATCACCTGGGTATTGCTAAAATACACATTTTGAGGCCCTATTTGCAATATGCTGAATCAAAATCTCAGGAGAATGGGGACTCGGAAATTGTATTTTTAAGAAGTTCCCTAGTTATCTTTATGCAGGTGGTCCTCGGACCACACTTGAAAGAAGACTTAAATAAAA